GAAGGAAGAAGAAGAGAGAGAGAGAGAGAGAGAGAGAGAGAAAGATTTTCCGGTACCAAAAAAAGTATTTCAAATTATTGTTTACGCATCTCATAAGCGCCTTTTTTGTTTTTGAAAAAAGCTGATGCTTTCTGGAAATTTTAGTGAGTGAATAAACAATTTTTTGCCATTCCTACACCGATCAATTCAATTATTTATTACCATTTAATCGAAAAGTTTAAAACCATAATGTTAAATAGAAGGTCAAAAGTCATACATGTAATTAAAATTATTCGAAGACATTTGTGCATCATTTTTACTCATCTTTGATTCTTTTTTTATATGTTTTATCAGCTACATCAACTATATTTTTCAAAGGATTTGTTGACTCATCAGCAATAGCGACTAACAGGTTAGAAAAATTAGCGACAAACAATTCATTTGAATGTCGTGAATGTCATGTTGCTTATATTGTCGCTATTTTTAGCTAATATCCAAGTTTAAAAGTCACCCTGACCTCATTCCTCACTTTATAACCATCACCTCGAATTAAAAATTATCAATTTCTCGTTACAGATAAGTTAGAATGAACTAGATGGCTGTATAGAATTGTTGTTTTTTTTTGCAACAAACTGTTAACTATTGCATATTGGATTCTTTTTTTTAAATTTCGCTATAGTCATAGAATCTGGAATTTTTGAATTCGACCAGTTTAATCATCATCCTGCAATTCAAGTATCTATTTTGTTGCTTATTTACATATTTAATTTATACTTATTTCGCTTATTTATCCGTGTTTAACTAAATTGTAAAATAGAAAATATTTTAAAGCTTTGTTAAGTGTAAGCAAAAAAAAGAGAAAAAATTAATGTAAATAAGAATTTATTATAATGAGATACCAATGCACGAGAAAATTTGGTAAAAATTGATAATATAATAAATAAAACATTGCGAAATGAGAAGAGAGTAAAAAAGCTTAAAAAAGGGAGTAGTTATTAATTCTTACTAACGAGTAAATAAATTGGATTAAATTTTATAATTAGTTAAAGATCTTAATTCTTACACCTTCCATTTTTTTACAATGCAACGATAAAAATATTAAAAGATATCTTCAAAAAGACAATTATTTCGTCGTTCAATCAAACTCTCTTCTCTCAGTAAATTGCTTCCTCTATCGTCATATCAAAAAATATGCATCAGTTGTTGAAAAGTGCCATATGAACGAAGAGCAAGGAATTTAAATTTTAAATGAAATTAAAAAATATTATATACAGCAGGAAAAAGAAACAACATTTTGGCATCCCAAATATATTTGTTGAAATGCTCGCAGAGTACAGTTCATTTATCATCATTATCGAACTCTTGACATTCAATAATTATAAGCTAATCCCACCATTATGGTGAACTTTATTACGTGTAGGAGATTCGGAAGATAAATTTTTATATGAGCAATAAAATTTATGACGTTCTTCTGGGTAACTGCAAATAAGAAAAATTATACATTTAATGGCAACACTTTAAATCTATCGGAATTGTTATTCCTGACATCTATCCTATCAAGGAATGCAGTGTGTTTATGCGTCTATGTAAATGGAAGTACGGTTACTCTACTTTATGAGAGCTAGAAAGTTCAGTGCCATATACTTATGGCTGAAATTTTGAACTCACGATTTTCCGAGAACAGATAATATATTAATATGAATTCATCGTCCTGGACATCAATCTTCGAATACAGTGATCTTTGGATGCTAACTGATTACTGACCAGAACATGATATGGTGAAAACATCACTATAAATTAGGATGTGAAGTTAATCATCGACTATTTCAACCGGTAATGCGTACAGATCAATTGTCCAATTGCCCACTTGTCGTAAAATGCCGTCGGCGTGGATTTTCTTTTTCCACCGTACTTGCTGCCACTTCCACAGCGCGAGTCTTTTCCAGATCTATTTTTGTGTAATTTATATTGGATGCCAAGCCGATAGATGCTAAATCATTACGTGTATTGTATTGATTGGCCCTGAAATTGTGGTGTCACTGATAGATAAAGCCGAAAAGAAGCATAAGTCATACTGTTTACATGAGAACATAAAAGAATATACTGCTGATCACTTCCAGTCCATATTTATCAAATATTAATTTATCGATTGATTACTCAGGCATGATTAACTCGAAATAGCAATCAATTACTAACCGGAACACAAATTAATACCTGACAGCTGTAGGTGAACCTTCCTCAGTTATTCCTACCGCTACTAATGCGTAATCAAGCTGCGGAGGTGTTGTTTCACGATCACTTACTCCTGAATCCTGAAATTACCAATTGCATTGTATGGTAATCTCGTGTAATACATTATGATACCAACACATCACAGTATCATAAATTATCCTTTTGTCAATCATTTAGTTAAGGAATCTTCGTGCAAATTTTTAATTAAATACAATAAAAGTTTAGAGGGAACAATTTTTGAATTTTGACGAAAAATCCAGATTTTATCTGGATTTTTAAATCTTTTGAAAATAAATCTTTTGAATTTTTGCAAATTCAAAATTATATGTTTGAATGATATTTTTCTATGGAAACAGGAAGGGTAGCTGTTTGGTAATAATAAGTATTTTAGATAATTTAAAAAATCCGGAAAGTGTCAATTAAGCTGAAAAAACATAGATGTTGCCCTTGTCCAGTTAAGGTCAGATAGCTCAAAAGCTATGGAGCAATTAATTGCTAATTGCTAGTACAGAGATTGTGTTATTCTGAGCGATCTTTTGGTGTGGAAGAGCAACTCAACGGGGTAGATGAGTAGATGATAGATAAATGAGGTGTCGTAACTAACCAGATAGTGCTAGCAGTTTTTCTCAGTTTCACATAAATTTTACAGAAAAAAAATTACCTGTCGAGCATTAACATAAGAATTAAGAGGTGATCTATCGCAAGGGCATAAAAATCCACAAGGTGGATTGCGATATGATAGCCCGGCGGTAGGAGTATTGAATCGCTGTGAGCCAAAGTCTGCCATGCCAAGATTTTGTTCCGTTGAACCACTTAAAACAGCAAGCAACGATAATTAGATAGAAATTAATCATTATCACATACGGAAGTATATATCAGCTAGGTATTTCCCCATTAAGAATATTCATATGGAGAGAAAGAAGGGAGAACAAATAGATACAAAAACTAAAATTTTAAAACATTCGTTTTTGCTTTGAATTAAAGAAAAGCTTACAAAGTGAAATGATTGGTGGAGGCAAATTCCCTCAAAACCGGTGACAAACATTGTGGTGATGAAGTGGCAGAACGACGCTGGGGAAGAACATTAACATAGGAATGATTACAGGTACTCAATTCGGATGGCTGTCGCTGAAGTACATGCTCACTCCTGAAATTAATGCTTGAAATTCATATGTCCTGTACACCTAGAAAGTATATCCTAGAAGGATAGCTTGGATAGCACTGCTTATAAATTTGAAGTGATGTATGGGATCGATCAAGAATAGTTTCATGCTACTGTCTCATCCCTTCTCAATAAATAAGTTTAAGATAAAATTCCAAGAATGTGATAGTGATATATGTATATTCAAAGTATTACAATCATTATACAACCATATAAGGTTAAATGTTCTAGTTCTGGATGGTTTTCTGATAATCGTATGGTTTTCAACGAATCTAAACAAAAAATTGAGTGAATAAAAAAACTAAGAGACAAAACAAATAATAATTTTATTTACACAACGTTTCCCATAAAGGCTGGCCGATTGAGACATGATCGGGGCGAATAATAAGATGGTGGTGGTAGAGGCCAAACAGCCGTATGTGCGGGTCCGGCAATACTTCGAGGTCGTTTCGGTATTTGGAAAAGGAGCTGCCGATGCTGATTAAATCGGTTGAGTGGTCGATGATAATTGGTGATACCACATGATGAAGATGAGCAATCACTGACATTTGCTGTTCCTAAAAATAATAATATACATATACATCGGAACAATAAGGACATATATCAAAATAAATCTGAGAAGAGCCTGGAAAAGGAACCAGAATTTGCAAATATCCATATCAAACTTGTTTTGAGAAATTCCAATATTGATGGACTCAAAATAATTGAGAAATCGTAGTGTCAACTTAAATATCTCAGAAAATTTTTTTTTTTAATTTCTGACAGTTCCGTTACCTTCACTAGAATATCGTTGTATTGGTTGAATGCGTGTACCAGCATAGCTGGAAGGAATATTGTGAACACTGTGATAACTTCCCGTAACCGATTGCGCACGAGCTTCACGTATTGCTATACCCATATTTGCATTATCTTGGATGCGAGATTGTACGAGCTAGAAATGAAATATTATGAAAAACACTTGCCTTTTAATTTAATTTAATTTTTTCTTTAAATTTCAGTAGAAGTTGAATTTAGAATAAATTCTCAAATTTCCATTTCTCAGATTTCAACAAAAGTGCTTAATTTTTATTCCTCAGATTCCAACAAAAAAACAAATTCTCAGATTTTCACCAGAGTACCTGAAAAATAGCTTCAGCTTGATGTGATTGAAACGTATGAAGGCCTTCGCCGCTACTACATCTGAAAGTAGTGATGCAAATACCAAAATTTGATTTTCTGATAGTGGACATATTTGACATCTTTTTATTATTTATTAGACAAAGCCCAAGTACCGCCATTTAAAAGAGCCACTTATAACATCAAATATGAGCGCTACTTTATCTGTCAGATGCATTTGCAATAATTTCAATTGACTGATTTCAATTTCATTTGAAATAAAAGTTGGTATTATCTAATTCATCTAGAAATTACACATAAGGTGAAATTTTTTAGCTTAATTAAATTTATCAACCTTCATATCTTCTATTTTTGACATTATTTAATCCTTATCTCCAGAAATTCACCTCATATCCTTACGACATCTTTCTTTTGACCAATTACCAGATATTAATAATTAAAGGTGAAAAAATTCTTCACCCTCCTAAACGATAAACTATTTATCTTTCCCAATACACTGCTGAATCCCATAGATAATTACAGGCTGTTCGGAAATGTGTACTTTTACTGAATTGAAACTTGTGAATGCCAATTTTCTAACCTTTACCGTAATTTTTTCACAATTTTATGAGTTTTGACATAAACTAAAAAATATCTATTAGTTTGGAAATGAATAGATACCATTCCTATATTGAAACGTTTCAGGCTGCTTTAGATTCCGAGCCATTAATACCTTTGAACTTATATCACTTATTACACAACCAGAGAACAATAACAAAACTGATTTCGTTGAATGAAATATTGGTTATACGATTTAAACAGTATAGATAATTTTTTTGTTGGAAAGATGAAATTTTTTTACCAAAAAATTTATCAGAAAGTTACCAAAAACAATAGGAAGATTGAAAAATTAAGCAAGAATATGGCATAAATTTCAGGTAATATTCCGGTTTGGTAAGTTGGAATATTATCAGTGGCAGATGATTATTAATTTGGTTAAAATAAGAAACAAGCATACGAAACTGATATGACAAAATGAAAGCGTACATACCTTCGCCCACTTTCGAAAAAGAAAATTCCAGCCGACGTAAAACCATAACGACGTAAAAAATGTAGAGGCCAATTTAGCGTTTCGCATCGTGAACGAATAAAAACAATCTCATTTTCGGTCACTTTTAATGTTCCTAAAAAAAAAAATTTAATGAATTTGTTAGCCAAAGCTAAACAGGAAAAGATTGAAAACATTTTGCTTTCCATTGCTTTTTGATCCGGAAGAGGAAATAATTGACAAAAAACGAAAAATAACGTTCTACTTTAAATTTTACGAGGCATATACACATACATTGTGTATGACTCATACGAATTTTTTTTAAAACAAAAATTCATAAATCATTGAAAATATATGTCGAAATTGAATTGGAAGATAAGATTATTCATTAGATAAATTTCATTTAATTGCTATAGAAATATTTTTCACAACAACTTACTACAGTTTTGCACACCTAATTTGCAGAGCTAATTTCAGTTTTTTACCCTCTTTACAATCCCAAACCATCTACTTCTATGTAATGTATCTATTAGGTAATAAAATATTTGAGCCATCGTTGTTTGGTTATACTGCAAATATTTAATTAATTCTCATCAGATTGAGCACTATTTTGGATAGATATTGAAATATAAATTTAGCAAGATAATTTAAGACAATGAAAAACTTCAAGGCCTCAAAGATCATAGAACAGCAAAAATCGTGATTGAAAATGTTTTTATTTTTACGTTTTGAAAAAAAAAAAATGTGAAGATGTATTAATGAATAAATAACGCCTTTACCTGGAATAAATTTGTTTCTTTTTTTAACGAATACTTGAAAAGCTTCTGGGTCATCACTCATAAAAGCTTCTCCAATTCTTACTTCACCTCCTCTACTTGCTGCATTTTGGAAATTTTTCAAAAATTCTCTCTGACCTGTTTGACTCACACAGTTGCCCATAGCAACGATTTCTGAAAGAAAATATTGAATAAGTATATGTATATATTAAAGATTAAAGGATGAATGGATGTTTAAAACAATATTTGAAGCATTTTACGATTGTCTTAAATTTCGTTAGATGAAAATGGAAAAGGATTTTGCGGATAAATTCATTGGTAATTTTTCGACATTTTTTTAATTCAAAGTTCAAAAATGTTCTGAATTTTTTGAATGCTATATTTGCACTAAACATTTTATTCAATTGTGACCGATCTTTAAATATATCTGATCTTCACCGATACATTTAACATGTGACCGTCAACATGTGGTCGCATCATTTCAGACATAGTAATTCTTTTAATTTAAAGAAAAAATTTTTTTGCTGAAGATTAGATATTTCCTAATATATATTCAGTATTTATCGTGAAGGCGGAGATTTACAAAGATTTCGCTACTTTGTTTTAGTGTAATAATACAAGAGCTGTTATCACACCGAAAATATCAGGATCTCTCAAATATTACAACATATTCCAACTTGTAATATCGGGGTAACTTTATACCGAAATGTATCAGACTTTTCATCAGCTTTCTGAAACAGCTCGACAATGTCAATTGTTTAATCATTTCCTTTCATCCATCCGATGGTTACATTATTTACGGTTCAGAAAAACGCTAATTATATCAAGCCAACTCTACAAGGAAAACAAAAAGGAGCATCCTTCTTTTTTTTATTTTCAATTTTTATAATTGCGTAGAAAATTTTCGCTAACCTCAAAATATGTGAATTGTTTTTTCTGCGTTCAGCTTACGCTATCAAAGCAAATGATTGAGGATTGCTGAATGCTAAACTTCGCTAATTCTACTCTTCGAAATCATGCGCTTAAATCTAACCAATAATTTTTAACCAATCATTCCTGAATTTTTGATTAATTTTTACTATATGTTTGAAAGGATAACAATTTAAAAAGAGAACATTACACCGTGGTTAAAAAGCGCCAAATAATCAAAGTATTACATACCAAAACAAGAACAAAACAAAAAATATATTACAAAAATCCCATCAAGGTACACTCCTTCCTTTTTTAGATCTATTACTTTACACTAAAGAAAAAAAATTATTTATATATCAATTGTTATTTCTTAATTGCCAACTAATTTAAATGCCAAAAATATAAATCTACAAATTTGCACGAAATTTTACCTATTTGTTGTTGATTTTATTTTCGTTATGTTAAATTAATTATAATCATAATTCATACTAACAACAATAATAGTGCAATATCATTACCATTATAGTGATGGAGATATATTCGCACACATTTTTACTCTTATATAAAGTTAGATCAAATTAATCAAGACATATAATCGTCCCTTGCTTGAATTACACATGTACAAATACAGACACACACACAGACACACACACATACACACACACAAACACACACACAGACACACACACATCCTGATACTTTTATACATGGGATGACATAATGATGTAATATGGCTAAAGCAAAATGAATCGTTCATTTGTTTTAGAAGATGTTTGGAATGGAAATTTTAAAGATCAAAATAGGATAAGAAGATGAAGCAAAGTCACTTTCTTCTTTTCGTTCGGCGCTACTACGATCACTGTCACCATGCGAGTCATGCTACCCTACCCCTCATATCATCGTACAGTACCCGGAACTTATTTCATTGAATTACAGGAAAAGAAAGAAAGTAAATCAGTAATTGTTAGGAAATTTTAATCACGAATAAGAAACCACTAACAATGAGCAGTAGGTTTCATTAGTTAATTGTAGCTAGCAAGCGAGATATGATAACAGCAACTGAGCGATAATATAGATTACGATAATGATGATCACAATGATAATGACGATAATAATAATCATGTAGTGATGGTAACGATAAATATAACAAAGATGATGATGATGATAGTAATGATAGTGGTGGTGATGGTGGTAGTGGTAATGATGATGATGATGATGATCGTCGTCAACAATATCGTCATTATCGTCATCACTCATCCTATCCAGTTGGTGTGAGCTAAAGTAGCACAGCAGCAGCTGGTTTATCCTCGAAATGTGTTGTAAACTTTTTGGCAAGCAACAGCAACGAAAATCCTCCCATCTTCGCCAATTGCTCAAAGGGCTAAAGGAACGACACAGCAAGCCGCAAATTTAAACGAATAGAGCGCAAAGTGAACCACTTTCTCTAGTATCAGTTTTAAAATTATTAAATTTTTGAGGCATAAATCAAACAAATGAAAGATTTGCCTCATGCATTTCTGCTTCCAAACTTATCAATTATGCAATTTCAATCGCCTCTTTATTGCTGATTATGTTTAAGGTTGATTTTAAACCGGAATGCCAAAATGTTGACAATTAGTTTTGCTGATCGGAAACAACATAAGAATGTTAAAGAGTTAAATTGAAATTTATCAAAGTAGATAAAAATGAAAATTTGTCAAATAATCACCATATCATGCAAATTCAAAAAATGAGATAAAAACAATTCTCAAATTATGATAAAGTTGCGAGATCCCGAAATGTTATAATGATAAAATGAAAATTCAAAATGAAACGATGCGAAAATGTTTGGAATAAAACCTCACATATATTACAGTAATCATTTGAAGTTCCTGTTGGATAAGCAAATGCAATTTTCGAAGTTATTAAGCCGAACGTAATATGCCAGATCTAGCTAAGCTGTTGAATTGATAAAATTCGATTAAATGCAGAAATCCGGAAATAAAAATTACTCACATAATGAAGAAGATAGATAACTAATCAAACATTCAAATTAACTATAGCTAATTGAAGTAATTAAATAATTATTTGGTTGAAAAAAAACGCGCTAAATCATAGAATTCTATCAGAATAAATTTTTGAATATTAAAAATTTCATCTTTTCTCAAGTTATTGTGCTTTCTTCATTTTTCAGATTTTTTCCACTTTCCAACTACAATGTTAGAATGCTAATTCCATCTGTTGCACTTTGTTGACGATAAAGCTATATGCCGGATCCGTTCGAGTATTTGCTATTCCAGCCAAAATTTGCTTTAATCCTCCTTATTGTCGAACTAGGCTTTTTTATCCTTTATCTTCAAGAACGTTTATCTGTGCTTATCCCTCTTTTGATAATGTCATATCAACATAGAGTTTACCAAGTGGAATTATATGGAGAATTGTGATAAGCAAATTCAGCTTTAGTAAGTCAATAGGAAATAAGGATAAAAATGGCGCAAAAATCCCATAATTTACCCGATATTATGGATAAATTGCCGCCATGAAGATTATCTCCTAGAACGAACAGAGAACGACACAGATGAATGAAATAACGATCAGATAAATCGGAAGGCGGACAAATCAATCAACAAACACATGGACTGACAAATAGACGAACTACGGAAATTCCCGGGATTTTTGGAAATCTATTCAGTGAGAAGGGCTGCAAGAGATAACTTGATCGAAATTTAAATTCTCGCCTAACTTGTTCTCTTACGGTCTTCAAGTATTTGTTTGAAAATATTCTACGGTAGAGTATACGGTGCTAAATAGAACATTCGAGAACATTCGGGAACATTCGAAAGTGTCGGGTAGGGGTATGGGATGACATCATGCAACATGTTCGTTGGACGGGTGGTTTGACTTGCATCAGTCTGCGTGTTTGTGGGCAAAGGAAGGCTGGAAGGTGACTGTTGGTGACACTGTGGAGGTTACTTTGTCTAAATACTTTAACACTTCTCCACTTTCTTGTTCTCCTTTTGTTCAAAATTTTCATATTAGATTTGCAAATTTCTGATATGAAACTTGAAAATTTATCATTTTCAAAATTAAAATTCAATATTTGTCATTTTTAAGTTGCTAATGTCACTACTATGCGCAGGTATTGTGTATTTTTTCCATGTGATGGTGAAATACGCAGTGAATATAGTAAAAATGGTCGTTCATTTGGCCCATTTTGTTCTTTTGAAAATGAGAGGAAGGAAATCTGTGAAATAAAACTCGAATTTGCTAAATTCCAATGACTTCTCTTCATTCCCATTGATATTCTATCGTTGTTTTGGATGCTTCTTCCGTTCTTTGTGATTGTGTTGATAGGGAAACGGGAGGAGTTTTACTTACTGAATAAATAGTTCATGAAGAGGAGATTTGGTGAACAAATTCATTTCGATGGTTTTTTTTCTCCTTGTTTGCGCATTCACTGAATGTAGACGTTATGCTGCTCTCACGCTATCATTATCTGTTGCTCATCATTAATTTTTTATTTATTTCTCTGGTAGCTTGGAAAACCCTTTCTTTCTCGTTTCTATTATCTGACTTGTTAGGATTCCAAATAGTATTCCTTATTTAATATGTTTGGTAAATTATGTGATAAGATAGTCAAGTTTCCGTTGATTTCCTTATATTAAATAGTGTATTCAGCCTTTCATGTTCGATTATGGTTCAGTTTCGCTGGCTTTATCTTATTTCCGTTCATTTATTTTCTTTAAAAACCTGTGAAATTCAAGTGTTTCCTGGTGAAATCTTCAAGTCTTTTCTGCATAATCATGGCTCTTTCACAGCACCACAAAAAAAAATTCCGATTTTTTTTGACTCGACCTTGCATGGCCGTAACTTTTACGAAATTCTCCTATGTTGTGTTGGTCTTACATATCAGTAGAGTGATATCAGTAGATGATATCACATATGACTGACTAACAACCATTCCTGTTGATAATGACAGTGGCATAATGAGCTATCACTCTTACAATTATAAAGGTTCTGATGGTCTTATCACTTTTTGTCACCGAATTTTATTATGCATTTATAATTTTAGATTCGTAAATATTAATCCTTACATCGATTTTTTCAGATTCAATTCTCCAGTCACACAAGCTTACGTGAACGTGATCGACTTTGTGACGCAAAACTGCTTATTTCATTATTTTTTGATTGTATTGACTGCATATTGCCTTTCTCTTGAAACAAATTAAGTGCGCCATGGGCAAGGATTATTACAAAGTGCTAGGAATCGCAAAGGGTGCCAGTGATGACGATATAAAAAAGGCATACCGTAAAATGGCACTGAAGTATCATCCGGACAAAAATAAAGAACCTGGTGCAGAAGCAAAGTTTAAGGTTTGTATTTCTGGAATTTAGCAGCCAAAAATTTCATCAATTTTCGAAATCCTTAGAATTTTATAGTAATGGATGTATCGCACATGTAATTTCTAATTTGAGGAAGTGGCGGAAGCATACGATGTACTGTCGGACCCGAAAAAGAAAGAAATTTATGATAAATTCGGTGAGGATGGTTTGAAAGGAGGCGAAGGAGGATTTGGCGGTCCTGGTGGTGTGCATTATGAATTCCAGTAAGTTCTTATTGTAACTGAATCTACAAAGTAATTCATTTAAAGCCGCAGGTAACCGCAATAAGACTGAATGCGTGAATGCTTGATATGATGGAAGGATCGCTGTAGAGTTTTAGGTATCTGAACTTACTAAATCAAATTTCATTTCACTCTTTCTTTTCTTTCAACAAGAAACATAACTTGCAGAGGAGACCCGATGCAAATGTTTGCGCAATTCTTTGGTGGTAGTGATCCGTTTTCTACGTTCTTTGCTAGTGGATCTGCTACTGGTGGTGGACCACAACTTTTCTTCTCAACCGGTGGCGATGATATGCGTTTCGGTTTGCATTATTTCATGTCTTAGATTTCTGAAAACTTTTTAAAAGGATACATAGGATTGAGAATGATCTTCTATTCCTCTTAATCCTTTATAAATGAAAAACCTTCAAATAAAAGGTGCCGTTTCAGATTTTCCAGGGATGCCTTTCAGTATGGGTGGTCATGCACGGCGCCAGCGTCAAGATCCTGTTGTGCAGCATGAGTTGCTGGTTTCTTTAGAAGATATTTACAAGGGTTGTACCAAAAAAATGAAAATTACTAGGTAACTGATTTGATTCCTTTCTGCAGTTATTAAAATTTTTTCAGTTTTTACAAGTGTCGTCGATTTCAACTTTTGTCTTCGGTGTTCAGACATATTATGTGCAGAGTATTGTTTCTGATCTTTACAGGAAGGTGTTAGCTCCCGATGGGCAATCGACACGGATAGAGGATAAAGTATTGACAATCAATATCAAGCCTGGTTGGAAGAGTGGGACCAAAATCACGTTCCCTAAAGAAGGGGATCAACATCCAGGACGTGTTCCTGCCGACATTGTGTTTGTTATCAAAGACAAACATCATCC